GACTTTTTGCTCAAATGCAGTTAAATAATTTTTATTGGTTGCACAGTGTGCCTGAAGTTTAGCAGGTTTGTCTCTGAGTGCATATGTGTATGGCACTATTTTTCTTCCCACATTGTGACATTGTGTGTTACGTTGCAGACAGCTTATCTTCTGCCCTGTGAGTTGCAGCAGCTGATTCCTCTGAAACCTCTGTGTTGCTCTGGGCGCTTTACGGGTTCCATCATGCTTGTTTGCGTGTCTTTTTTTGTTGCTTTTTTAAAACCACAATTCAAAAGCAATGCCATGATTATACAAAAAAAAAAAAAGTATTATTATTTGTCAATTTCAACTTATTTCAGTGACAGCTGTTTTTTTTTTTTCTTCATTCTTTAATGGGAGGGTATGAATACAATTGAGGACGACTGCATCTGTGAGGTGACAGCGCTGCTCACTGTACCACCAACCCAAACCACCAAAGTTTGGTTTCACATACAACACATGCAATTAGGAAACAGTCCCTTACGTCAATGTTTGCCTAACACTCCAGTTTTACAAATACATTGTTGATAATTACAGCTGCATATTACAAAGTATCTAGAGTGACATATTTTAATGAGGGAATTTCAGCTGATAATTCTGTCCAGTAATGCAGACCATGCTGTGGACTTGGAACACCACTCAAAACCTGGTTCCGAGTGAGTCTTCCTTATGTCACAAATCCTACTGTGTGAATTCATTCCAATTTGTCTCTTTTCAGCTCATCAGAAGAAACACTGTGATGGCATGGTTTCAAGACAGAAGACAGAGAAAATGAAATGCAGAGAGAAATCTCTTCCTCACCACTTCTCTGATTCCCGTCATCTTTTCCCCCCCCTTCTCTTCTATCTCTGCTTCATGTTCAATTATTTTCAGCCATCTCGCCAGCTCTCCATCCATACACAGAGACTATCAGAAGGCTGGAGGAGGTTTGCCCAACACAGCTGAAACTATATTAACACTCACAACATTTATAGACACAAACATGCCAGCAACTGTGGCAGTTGTCTGTGTGGTTATTTGTTTATGTACATGTTTTGGGGTAAGTTTTGTAAAGTCATTTCTGTGGCACTCTCTGGCACAAAGAAGATACCCCACAAATTCATTAACTCATTTCACTCTGCCTGTTCTCTCTTAATCTCCCTCTCTCTCTCAGTGCGCTTATAATTCTCCTCTAACAAAAACACACTTGCACACAACCAAGATTTGGGGTAAAGGTATTCCAGCTTCTCTGTTGTCAACATCACAAAGGTCATAGATCTTTCCTCAAGCACACCTATAATGATTAAAAACACTGTTCCCGCTTAATTATTTTGTTAGGAATTATTTGAACAAGACATGGTCAGTACAGTGTTTAGGTACACCACAGCATATGATCTTCCATAGTCCATACATTTTGTCATTTATATAAGAAAAAAGTCTGTAATAGTCTTAATTATTCAAGATTTTCTCAATGGCAACTCACCTAACAACCATTTATTTATTTATTTTAAGTTATTTTTTTGGCCTTTATTTGATATGTCAGAGAGAGAGAGACAGGACTGTGGGGGAGAAGAGTAGGGGGAGGACATGTGGGAAAGGGCCATGAGCGGGATTCGAACCCATGACCTCCACATTGGGACTGTAGCCCTGCACATGGGACGCCAGCTCAACCAGGTGAGCTATAGCGGCGCACCTAACAACCTTTTTTTAAAATATAGAAATTTAATATAATCCTTGGGAAAGATGGAGAGTCAAAATACCTTAAACAGTGTGATTTTCAGCTCTGAAGCTTCCACATCTTTAGCAAAGAATGTTGCAGTCAGTTTAAGTATGCACTGCCATAAACGGTCTAAATATGACACAGCTATATTAATACTGCACAAGATCAAAGTTTGGTTGCAAGAAAGTGAACACTAGCGTAGATATTACATTTTGAAACATTCTGCCTATGGGTTGAAAAATATTTACTGTTATTAATTTGATCACTGTAAAACATTCAGCAACGAAGGTTTTGGTGCAAATTATACTTAAGGTTTCATGGAACCTCACAAAAAAATAAAATCAACCAAATCCAGAGTTAAATAAGTGATTGGTGAGGTGTAGAAGGAATTGCAAAATGATCTCATTTAGCTGTGTGGGCAAACTTCTAAACATCTAAAAAAGATCTGGAGCAAAGCTAAACAAACATCTTCACATGGGTGTTTTAAGAAAATCCATGACATGAATTTGGGGGGTCAGGTGAGGTGATTTGTAATGACCCTTAAATCTATATGTTTTTAAATATTCTATTTGTACATTGTTTTCATAGTAGTTACTTTTTAACATGGTTTTCTTTCAGCACAGGAGGAAACTGTTACTCAAACTATCACTATCATGCAGACCTGTTACCATGGCTACGACTGCAGTACTGATGCAGATGGGTGTAATTCAGATATTAGACACCAGCTTCCTCTACGTAATCCTTTCCGACCTTTCTACATTGTGCACATCAACAACACACACACACACACACAAGCTCACAGAGTGATAGCACTGAGTGGAGCTGATATGATTGATGAAGTCTTTTAGAGAAAGATAATCCCACTCAGCAGCTAATGGCTTACAACACCAGATGGGCTGCTGTTACTCTCTCCCTCTCTGTCTCTGCCACACACAGACACATACACACAAATACAGACACGTGCACACACAAACACAACCCAGAGTAAAGGGCATGCTGAATGACAAAAGTAACAGAAATTTAAGGACAAAGACAGGGAAGTGCACAAAAGAAAAGATGGAAACTCTGCTGTTTACAAAAAACTAACTCCTCTTTACCACAGAGTTTAGTGACGTGCAGCAGTCAGGAAGCTCTTACATCCTCGTAGTACGACATGTGTACGACACACTCTAAAGTTGTAATTGTAATATAAAAAATACTTGTAATATACATTAGAACAAACCCACTGCAGTGTTGCAAAAACTACAATGAAAAACCTCAGAAATCTAAAAAAAACAACAAAAACTTAGCCATCATCACTATAGCAATCTGTTCTTGTAGCATAAACCTCTCAAGAATCTGCTACTCTAGCTGTATGAGTCTCTCCATTTACAGGGTCTGGTGTATAAGCAGGATTACACTTCAGGGATCAAAGATAAAGTGATTCAGTAAGTAGATTTTTAGTTGGCTAACTCATGGTGTAATCCTTACTAATGAGGTAAAACACAATGGAGATGAAATTACGCCACTATTCCAAATGCAATGTGTGTGTGTGTGTGTGTGTGTGTGTGTGTGTGTGTGTGAGCATGTGTGTGTAAAAGATTGTAGGATTTGATGGACTTCTGAAACATTCTTCCAAGTTTTGTTTGTTGAGCTTTTAGCATAAATTACAGAAATGGAAGCCTGCTAAACATGATGTTAGGACAAAAAAGTACTCATCTCTGCTGTTCTAAGGCACATATGTATATATTGTTTTCCATGAAAATAATCCCTTCATGCCATAAAATGGCTCGGATCTATGTAGTCCCTGCCTCCCTCTCTACTCACCCTCCACTCACAGTAGCTTGAACTCACCAGCTCACCTACAGCTCTGCTCCGACACTGTGAAACTACTCTGTGCTACACAAATGGCAACATGCAATACTGGAGTAATTCAGGTGTACATGGAGGAACCAGAAAACAATTCTGTAGAACAATGACACAGAAAGTCGCATCCTGCAAGTTTACAGAATTGGTTTCTCACGCTTATTAAACTCTTTAAGTCTTAATCCATCCAAACATTTCAAATCATCAGCATTGGCATTAACTGCTTCATTTGCTCATAATGTGTCTTCTGTCATATAAACAAAACACTATATGGACATGTTAACAAGGTCAAAACTTAGATTTTCACTGAAAGGCCTTGAAAAATCTTGTTTTCCTTGCTCTCTTCCTTCTGTCTCTGAGACCACCAAGTTAACCTGATTAAACAGCTGTCTGTGATTCTCAACAATAGAAGCACGCTAAGCAGCAGATTAACACCATTACATCATGAATTATGCAAGATACAGGGGCACAGCAAGAAAATGCGCACTGGGAAACAACAATGCTGCAATGTAGTATAAAACAATCAGTCGCATAATCCCTGGTGAAAGAACTAACTATGGGGAGAGATGGTAAGCTAGATGGATGGATATGGAATAGAAGACATGAAGAGAAACATCGCTCATGTGCAAAAGAACCCTATAAAAAATGTTTAGAGGTTTATCGTTCTTGAATGATGCAGTGAATTATCATTTGGAGTCATCACCAACTCCAAACCTGGTTCTGGTGTGACTGCACAATTACATATACTTCCCACTGTATTGTCTAGCATGAAGTCTAATGATGTGACCCCCTCAGACCACGCAGAAAGTAGTGCTTTAAATATGTGTCTGATTATTGAAGCCGATATTTGGCTTTTTAAAAAATTATTGGTAGCGTTATTTTTACTGATCTGGTATTGCAATAAAGGCAACGTGCTACCTTGGCCCTTCCTGTGTAGTCACTCTGTGGTTTCAAGCAATGTCCCGCCCACAGCTCTATCTTATTGGCTGTTTCACATCATCAGAAAACACTGAGAGCCATTATACTCCTTCTCCGGCCCCCCATTTGGCAAATTCTGAAGGAATGGGTTTTTAATATCTAACTGTGTTCTCAGATGAAGTAGACATGTCCCAGATAAAAAGCAAGCCTACACAGGAGGACTGCTTGAAAACAGTAGAAGAAAAGAAACAGGCAGGCAGAGAATCATCAGGCTGTGTTATATATAAAGAATAAAAATGTATGATGTGGAGAACCATGACCTTCCCTGCAGCTCTGCACAGACCCTGTCACCCACACACAGCTGACAATGGCTGAAAGCAAGGAGGGACAGCCAACAGGTATCTAGCACTGAGAAAAGTCTGTCTTCTGACTGGTTGAGAGAATTAGGTGTAGGGATTCAGACAGGTCTCCCATCTTTTAGTCTCCAACTTTCTAATCTCAGTTGTCTTTTTGTTCTTACCTTTTTTGGTTATAATGATGCGGAGTAGCGGATTAGCTGACGAGACAGCTTTGTGGAAGTTGTCATCGTTGTTGATTGGAAGGAGGTCTCCGTGGACGTCTGCGTATCCCAGCAGGACGTCGACACCAGGGATGCGATGGATGGTTTGGAGGAGGCGGTAGAACTCCTGGAATCCACCTGGGCCATTTCTCTTCAGAGCAAAGCGACGGTATTCTGCCTCAAACTGTAGAAGGAAGTGAACACACACATCAATTTGTTTCCCGCTCAGATACTTCACAAAGAGGAGCAAATTGGAATTTAATGTTTGCCTATATTTACTGCTCTGCTTCCATCGCACGTTTAGGTTTGTTTGAAATTAAATTAACTTGTTGGGAAGACACAGGAAAACACACACACACACACACACACACACACGCAAATGCACACGCACACACAGAGCAGAGCAAAGGAGAGAAACGTGTAATCTCCAGTGGTCCCATCTACATTTTTTTTAACAATCCAAAGGTAAACTTCTGTGCCAAAATATGTTTTTTTCCCCACTCAGCTCACCTTGAAATTAAAATGACTTGAAAACTAAAAAATTGTATATTTTTATATGTTACAATCTGTAAATATTATTTAAAAATTTTATATAAAGAGCTTTACACATCCATCCATCCATTATCTATACACCACTTAATCCTCACTAGGGTCGCAGGGGGACTATAGATAACTTACAGTCACCAATTAACCTCAACATGTTTTTTGAATGTGGGAGGAAGCCGGAGAACCCGGAGAGAACCCACGCTGCACGGGGAGAACATGCAGTCTCCATGCACTCCCAACTGGGGCATGAACCGGGGACCTTCTAGCTGCGAGGCACAGTGCTGGCTGATGTCTTCCACACATCAGACAAATATCACACACAGATGACACATTCATACAGTAAGACTATTTGGCCAGCAGCATTAGAGCTGTAAGAATATTTTTATTATTATAAGTAAGAATCAAAACAGCCTCTTTCCTCTGTCTGTGCCCACAGACCTCCCCTGGTGGAGGCTGAGAACAGCAGGGACCAGTGGTTGCCCTTGTAAAATGGGCTTTGCGGTCTAAAACCACTTATGACTCTTTGTCCAATAGGATCAATCTTCTAGTTTCCACATCTGTGAGTTGCAAGAATCCATGTAATGTCAATTTTGTTACCTCACCAAGTCTGCGTGCATCCCAAAATTTGTGTTTGTGAGGAAAGGCCAGGCAACCTCTGCACTACGAGGGCAATAGTGCTCATGCAGTTGTGTATATGTGTATGTTTTTCACTGTTGTGTTAACAAATGATTACTTGTCTAACCTGATAAATAGGCTAAAGTTGTTAAATTCACATCAAACCTTTACTCTCCTGATCCCAATTTAAAAAAACAGGCCATTAAAAATTATAACTAAGGGGGCACCGCTATAGCTCACCTGGTTGAGCTGGCGTCCCATATACAGGGCTACAGTCCCGATGTGGAGGTCATGGGTTTGAATCATGACCCTTTCCCACATGTCCTCCCCCTACTCTTCTCCCCCAGTTTCCTGTCTCTCTCTCACTGACCTATCAAATAAAGGCACAAAGGCCAAAAAAATAAACAGTCAGGACTCCGTTGTATTGGGGACTTTACCGTTCAGTGAACAGAGGCATCTTAAAAACTGAAAAGGAGTAACTTTTTCTACAGTCAGTACCCAATTCTAGAAAGATAAATGGATATCCATAGAGTGAACAGTTCAAGTTTATGTACTATTTCTTTCAATTATTAACAATCGTCTTGGGTGGTGCTAAGCCGAGGATGAAGTCACTTATATTTTGGCTCATCCAGGGTTCCTGCAGTCCTCCTGTGCTGAGGTCAGCAGTTAACTAAATCAGTGAACTAGCCATTTTGTATCAAATGGTTAAACAGTTAGATTTGGTGGTAAAGGTTCTGCATACTAAAATACTAAATACCAAGCCTGAGCACATAAAGAGGAGACTGGGGTGATGAAGGGAGTGGTACTGGCAACAAGATGTCATAATAATAGATGTCACGTATTAATAGCTACTCCCTACACTTACTAGCAGGCTGATAGCCAAGCATGCACTGACACATCAAGATACACGTGGAAAGAAAAGATAAGATATTCATTTAAGATTACAACAAGACCCCAGCTTGTTAGAAAGCAGGGTCAAAGCACAGGGTCAGCCTACAGGGCTGCCACTACCCCCACATCTGACCTTATGAACTGTGGTCAAGTTAGAATCATTCTCAGCCCATCTTTGCCAATCTAAAAGATGTCTTTCTTTAGCCACTGTTAGCAGTCTGAAGGAGACATATGCTGGTTTGTCCCTTCAAGTGTTGAAATTTCTATTGTTCTCTGGAACTGGCAGGACAGGTATTACATGTGTGTTCATGTACAGTCAACAGTTTACAGGACCCAGTGTGCGCTCTCAGTGTCTAACAATTTTACATGCTTTATCGCTGATCCATTGTTGGACTCCTTGTTGTTTTGGAACAGATACACAGCCCTATTTAAGGTATATATGGCAGGTGCATTTCACACGGCTCTTGGTAGAGGGCTTGCAATAAATCACAGCAACAATGTCTAAAAACATGTGATCTACATGAGCAGGAATTAAGATGGTGTGAGTTTCTAGGTGTGGCACTCCATCACGTTCCTGGTGCCAACCCATTTGCACACCTAAGGCTTATCCACCTATCCAGATACTGCTGCATGTATACGCCAGCTCTGCTCTACATTCTCTGCAAGATTGTTCAGTTCACCAACAGAGTGCAACAGCCAACCTTTAACTCAGTTAGGTGTTCTCTTGTTGTTTGATGTACTGAGTAATCTTTGTGTGTTTTTGTGTTTCAGGTCCGTCGTTTGTAACCTCCCAGCTTCGACCAAGCTCCCCGACAGGCTACCAAGCCAGTCTGTCCAGCTCTGCATCCCACACCACCAGCACTACGTAACCAGGCAGCCATGCTCTCTGCCCAGCTCTCCCTGTCTTCCTCCACCCAGCTCCTCCCACTCATACTCAACCTCTGCCAGCACCACTACGCATGTCCCTCCCAGCGATACTCCGACTAACCTCACATTATACAGTAAATCCTGTCATACCTATGACTGCTTGCTTGAGTATTTCTTGTGACTGTGTATACACAGATGTCTCCAAAATCACAAAACTGCTTTCATGTTTCAAATATTTAATTTCTTGCTTCCAGCAGTTTGTGTGTGTGTGTGTCTATATGTATGTATATATCTGTACAGTCATGGAAAACATTATTAGACCATCTTTGTTTTCTTCAGTTTCTTGTTCATTTTAATGCCTGGTACAACTAAAGGTCTATTACATGAAGAGCACCATGAACATGACAAAAAAAATGCAGCTGATTACATAATACTTTATGTCCTATTTGACATGCTTTAGCTTAATTGTATTCCCAGGGTATATAAGAGGCCATGTCATGTCATAAGCAGCACTGCACATGCAAAGGCCTAGAGGGGTTTCCTGCTTACATTCAAGCTGTAGCACAACTCAGAAGTTGTCAGGTCTCACATAATGCCTAAAACAAAAGAATTATGTGAAGCCACAAAGGCAGTCATCTTGGCACTGCTGGAAATTGGCGTAAGGGAGAGACAGGTAGCGAAAAAATTGAATATCTCCAAGACAGGCGTTCATCACACCAAGACAAAACAAGCCCAACATGGTACAAGCAAACTGCTAGCTGGTGGCGGCAGGAGACATCTTTCTACCCCATGAGATGACCGTGCACTCATCTGTTCCTGTGTCAGGAATCATCATCAGACCTCCAGGGACCTTAGAAATGAGTGGGTACTGTCAAGAAATGTGACTTGTTCAGCAAGGACAGTTGGAAACCTGCTTCTTGAAGTTGGTCTGAAGTCACACAGGACTGTACATATATGTACATACAGTGCTTAACACATTTATTGGACTACCTGTCGAATAAATTTGTATGTTATGGTTCCTGCAGTTTGTTGGCAAAAAGCATGAAGTTTTCTTTCCATTGGACAGCGTCTGTATAACTCGATGCTATGCCCTGGTCTTCACTTTGTCTGAATTGTCCCAGAACCTCTGATTTCCTTTGATAGCCCCTGTGCCACATCACCTATGTGGCTTTGATTTGTGGTACTCCTGATTATTACTGCAACTGTGTTTCCACTGATTTTTAGTCAGTCACCAATCTTCCTAATAATTATAATACTAATGATACATTTATTTTGTGTAGCGCTTTTTAAGATACTCAAAGTTGCTTAACAGGGTACAAGATAAAAACAGGAACAAAACAAGTTGAATAAAAAGCAGATAAAAAGCCAGGCATAGAAGGCAGGTAAAAAAAAAAAAAAAAGCAGAACAGTTAAACATTAAAAGCGATCTTGAAAAGGTGAGTTTTTAAAAGGAACTTGAATGTGTGGAGGCCAGAACAGTGTTGGATGGGAGGTGGAAGGGAGTTCCAGAGGGTGGGAGCAGCAGAAAAGGCTCTGTCCCTGTCTCTGTCCTGTATCCTTGTCCATCACTGAAGTGTTCCAATCAGATTTTTCAATTCTTCTGGCAATTCTTTTTCATGTGATGCCATGATGCTGACATGCAGCTATACACTGTCCATAGGTCCAAAATTAATTTAAAAAAAACTTCTCTAACGTCTGTGCCAGTTATCTCAGAAGTATTCATTTTCATTACAGGGAGTTTCTATATTGGGGCTGGTTTTCAATATAGGTGTTATACCATATTTGTTTTTTATTGCCTGTAAGTTGAAATACTCTAGTTGTCCACATGTGACATCTAAGCAACATTGCGGTGTACTTTCGTCTTCTGTATACAACAAACTGTGTGCTGGATTAAGGTGGTTTTGGGTCTACATTCAAAGCACAAGTGAGAGAAAACTGAAACTGATAAGACTGTGAATACAAGTACACACTCTGGTATGGGTGTGGTATGGTGCTGGTATATGTATATTTAGCCCCAACTGTTTGGTGTGCAAATTTCATGCATATTTCAGTATGAACTTTCCTTGGTTCGGCCCACCCTGTGAGCAAAACAATCACTCTCAGAAATAAATTTGTATTTATATATTTCCACTCCTGGAAAAAAAAGAGTGTGATTTCCACCTGCAACATTTTAGCAGTGCACCAGTTCTTGTCAATCAGCTATAGCATGCTAACAGGGATAGCCTTAAAAGCTGGGCAGACACTGTGCTAATTTTATTAAACATGCATGATGTACTAACTTAGTCTGAGTTTTACTGGTCATCCTGTGCAGCCACAATCTGCCACTTCCCTGCTTACACTGTACTGGCCAGTCGATAGGCTGCCATGTGAAGCTCACACTTGGTGTAAATACTAAGCCTCCGGTCGCTTTTGTCCAGTGATAATTCCATTAGAGTTTTTTCAAACAAGATGGCTCTGGCCCCTCAGTGTTGACAAAGAGAGAGAAAATAAGTGTCACTTTGTGCGGAGATGAAATTGCACTGCTGGCCTTAATAGTTATTCAATTAAATTAAGAATATGTTGCATCGTCTAAATGGACATATTTGATTTGATTTTATGGTTGTGAATAAAACAAGTCTTTTCTTTTAGTCAGTATCCAGCATTTGACTGCTCAAACTGTTACAGTAAGATTCTGGTAGATTAATCATAGCAACTGGACTTGCTTGAGTTCCCTGAAGACGTTTCACCTCTCATCCAAGAGGCTTCATCAGTTCTGACTGAGTAGTTGGGAGTTCCAGATACTTGTATCCTAGAGAGCCATTAACACCTGAGTTTCGGTTTCAATTAGGACTGGTCCGAATAGCAATTTCTGTTCTCCGGATATTTGGCTCCAATTAATGATGAATATCCCAAATATTTAGGGGTGCAGTTTGTTCCAACAGGCTAGAAGTAGGGCGGGACACACAGGCAGCATTTGGATACTAAGACCAGTTTAGGTGTTTAGGTTAGTGGTCACGGCAGCGTTTTCGCGGCAGGGGGGAATAGATCAAAATTGATATCTCGATTCCAGCACAGTGAACGAATAGTCGGCTATTCGGCTATTCGGGTCCAGCCCTAGTTTCAATTGGGGGTTTGTTGCGCCTCCCCCTCGTTACATTGGGTCGTTAATGCTCCCCCTGCCACAAAGGGGTTCCTTCGGGTCTTTTGTGGCTAGGTGTGAATGCAGTTTCATCTTCCTGAGGAGAGATCTTAGGACTGAATTATAAACAGGTGAGAGGTGATACCTCAGACCTCCACCTCTGTTGAGGGATGGTCTTTCCAGTTTGACATGATGGCTTCTTTCACCCCTCTGTCAAACCATCTGTCCTCCCTGGCCAAAATCTGTACACTGTTGTAATGACTCCTTTAGGATATAAGTATCTGGAACTCCCAACTAGTCAGTCAGAACTGATGAAGAGGTGAAACGTCTTCAAGGAACTCAAGCAAGTCCAGTTGCTACGATTAATCTACCAGAATAACCATGACCTGAATGACTGAGAATCTTCACAGACATGTTACAGTAATAATTATTTCAGTTAAGAACTTTGCAAAAAACTAACAGTGATGTTTTGTTTTTCAGATATATATATTGCGATATGAAAAAATACAGGAATTTTCCTCAGATGACTGAAAAAATGTAATTAATCATTCTAGGTCATTTTAAACAATAACTACAACATTATTTAAAAGCTGAAGAATTACATTTTACTGTGAACACTTTTTCTGAATGTGAACTAATTGGAGCCTTATTAATATGGTATAAATCTAGCAAAGACTTCCAGAACAATTTTTTTTTTTTTACTTTGGACGGCATTCAGATCTGGCTTTGCACTCATAACAGGGAGCTTTGTGGTACTGATTTAAATAGTCAAATTAGTCACGTTGCCTGGTGTAGTGCACAACAACGGCAAAACACTCCTACAGAGTACCTGTGTTTGGCCAACATCATCATTTCTGTGGACTTAAAATCACCTCACCTGGATTCAGAGCATCTCCCAGAGGCATAATATAAATTAAATTGTTCCCAAAACCTCTCACTTGCTGAACATTTACTTATCAATAGACACTACAATTGACCTTTGTTAGAAGCTTCCTAGGTGGCTGTGCACAGAGAAATCTGTAGTCTCCCCAGTCAGTTAATGCAGCGCAGCAGCTTAGACACATATGCGCCCAAAAGTTACTTAAACTTGTAATAAGACATTCCTGTGTCATATTTACCCAAGTTAAACAAGTGATTTTATCAATACAGGCTGTTTTCTATGAGTGGGGCATTTAAAATGTCGATTTCACACTCAACCATGTTCATTTAATTGCCAGAGGCCAAAATCATTATGGGGATTAATATTTCATGAATTGTTTTGTCCAACAACTGATGTTTCTTTTATGCAACCACATCTTACATTTCAGTGTTTCTGTCCTGTTGCTTGCTCATTTTGCTGTGCACATGTGGAGCCTGCATATCAACAAACTGTCTTGTAAATAAAGAAACACTGTAATGTCAGTGCTGTAGCAATATATCATGCAGCCCTATGTCAAATGGATTTTTTGGTGTGTGCAAATAAATCCTGCACAATGTCTTGTCATTCACTTTATATTTGAAAGTCCAGATTCACTAAACACTAATATTGGTGGTTTCTCGGGCCAATATTGTTCCTGATAAAGAACCAAAACAATCATGTGATTTACTTTGCAGGCAAGAAAAGATGAGTGAGAGATACACTGGGGTTAAGAGAGACAAACTTAAAAATGGTTACCCAAACAACAACCCTCACCCTAACCCTAATGCTGAAAATTTTGCCCTCAAATGCACACTGTGTCAGCCTAAGGTGACAATCTGAATGACATCAGTGAAAAGTGCCATAAAATTAATAAGAACAGCAGGACAGTGCTACAGTTGTAGGACAAAGTAAACACAGGCCTTTATTACTTTTGTCTGACCTGTTTAGACCAGAGCAAGTGTGTGTCAGGAGGCAGAAAGATTCTTACCAGTTCTGCATATCTCCACACAGGCTATTTTCTCCCCTAATGTTACAGCTCTTCCAACAGTTACTGATAAACAGCAGTGAGTAGCGGGGCTTGAACAATTATTAGCCCGGGTCCAATATTATGATCAGGTCCAATATTCAGCATTATCAGTGTTACTGTTTATTTTTAACCAATACACTTTTTTTTTTTAAGAAAAATTAATTTAAAACTGTGCTGGTCTTGACTCTAATGCAGTCTTCTCTCTTATCTGTAGTCACTCTGTGGTCACAAGCAGTGTCCGGCCCACAACACGCTGAAAAGTTCTATTTTAGTTAAACATATAAAAAAACATGAATAAACAAGGGCAGTTTAAGAAAGATGTGTTTTGGTGTTTGTGATATTCTAAATTTTAACACTAGGATTTTACATTTTTCGGCAAATGTATATCAGTTCAACATCTCAGTATCTTCCCCTAAATAAAATCATATCAGTAGACTTCTGGTAAGTAATAGAAAATTTACTGACATATTTGACTTAAAAGTTACAGTAGGCTTAGTCAGAGTGAATAATATGTCTGACCACTAAGCTCTAATAAGTATTTTAATACTTGTTTAATACTTACTTATTACCCAGAGGATATAAAGTCCATGGACACAATGCCTGCATTTGATGTCGACTTAATCCAAGCCACAGCAATCAAGTGGTAATTATGTATGTATGTATGTATGTATGTATGTATGTATGTATGTATGTATGTAGCTACTACACAGGTGAAAATAGATTAAAATAAAGACTCACAGTATAGATTTTCTGTGTATTATATAAAAAATTAAATATTAAACTGAATGCATTTCAGTATATTGGTATGTTTTACAGGTGCTATGCCCTCATTTAGACAACAAGTGGAAAATACAACCATGGAAGCGTTCAAAAAAACAATCATTACCTAAACCTGTAAGCTACTTTGGCATAATAGCTGTGTACATACACAAAAGTCCATCGCCTAACCTTAACATTTACTGTAGCCTGGTGCTAACATGCCAGCACCATAGCCTGCATATGTGCCATAAATACATACAGTCAGTAACAGAGCAGGTAACAGCCAACAACAGCAGCAGCCAAGTAGAAGGACGAAACTGAAGCGACAGACAAAGAAAGAATGACATGAAAAGAGAGGACGAGATGACTGAGGCTGACTAGCTCGGTCGCTGCTTTGGCACTGACGAGGAACGACGGAAGAAATGCGGAATTAGGTGGAGGACAACAGGCTCGGCTCCGGCAGCCTGTCTGCAGCAGGAGCAGCCAGGCCGCTTGTCAGCTGCCCCCCCAGTTTGATTTCCACTAATCATTTCTACCGGAACCTCCCGTGTCCGGCGGTAACACGTACGGGTTGTTTCAGGGCGACATCACGAATCTTAGCAGAACGACAACAGAAGGTTACGTCGCTGAAAGCAGACCCCCGCGTCCTCTCATCAGCGCTCAAACCATCAGTGAAACCCCCCATTAAAGCACCACTCACTTTGCTCTTGACCTCCACCACGTTGTCGGTGAGTTTTAACGGCGTCCGGTGCTGCTGTTGCTGCTGCTGCTGCTGCTGTCTTGACATTCTGCTCCCCGGCTGGCTGCGTGGCTGAGGCACTGCGGATAAAAGCATGCGCCGGCTGCTGTGCGTCCTTCTCCGGGCTCGGTGAGCGGATGTCTCGCGGAGGACTGGAGCTGATGCTGCAGCTCGTGAGCGGCTCCTCTTGCCAGAGCTCGTGCCGTCCTGTGTCAGCGCGCGCTGCTGTCAATCGCTCACGACATCCACAAACAGAAACGGAGCTCAGCGCTCGCGACAGGTGGAGTCCGGTAAATCCAGTCTGGGATGTGAGGTGCCAGCGAGCCGTCCTCCCCTTCCTCCCTCTCCTCCCTCCTCCCCCTGCTCGCCCTGCTCCTGACGCCACTGGAGGACGGGGCGGAGGAGGCGGGACGGACCGCAGCACAGGCCTGCGATGCTGCTGCTGCTGCTGCTGTCGCTGGACGCGCTCATGGACCAGAGCCTGTCGAAGCCTTTTTTACTTCCCAAGCAGAATTTGACAAAGGCCAATAAATTGACAAACTCATGGCAAGCCGTTTTAACATTTAATAACTACACTGTACCGCAATTCACGTCTTTAGACACCCACAGTGTCATTTATCCTTGAAGAATGATGTCACTTCTATTATTGGTGTGTATGAGGTTTCTCATTGGAGATGACTGTGTACCATTGATATGCAAATATTTGCAATGTGAATTGTGCATACGAATCGTGATTAATTGTAATTCCAGTTTTAAATGTCTACAGTTTAATTTTCACAATGCTTGTTTAAGATATCTTTAATTCCACTCAAAATCAGATATCTGTCAGGCAGAGGGAGGCCACACTGCCACCCCACACAAACCCTAACAAAGCCCTAAACTGTGCATAAACTCATAGAACTAGACTTGGATCCAGTAGCAACGGTTTCTTTTGCAGAACTTTTTGTGGAACCAGTTCTGCCCAGTTGTTTCCCCCAACAGATATGTTTTAACACCAAGAAGTTCTGACCTATCAGAAAATATTCACTCTGATTTTGTAGCAATGTTAGTCTTGTTGTCATAGAAAAGTGTAAAGACAGTAAAAAAAAAAAAAGCATGTTTTTTTTAATGAAAATCTTACAAATGAAGATGAAACCTGCTATGAAGAGCTCTGGAAACAAGTAGTACAAAGTACTGAACAATGTCAAACTGACCAAGAACCTGCAGCCAAAACGAAGACCCCATAGCACCTTTCTCAAACCACTTCACAGTGTGTTTCTCATCCCCCATTCACACACACCAGTGGATAGTGTGCCTGCCATTCAAGGTGCCTGCCTGGCATCAGGAGCAACTCTGGGTTCTTGGGTTCTTGCTATCCTGTTTTCTCCATCCCCTCATCCACACTCTCACCCAACTGGTGAGCCTGGTTCTGTCTCAAGTTTTTGTTGTTGGTTCCTTCCTACGATTGCAACCACTTGCTCAAAGGGAGTCCAAAGGTAACTTTGGATTTTTGGGTTCTCTGGGTCTATACTTAACTATGTTCAGCGCTATGTGATGACATCTGTTGTAAACTGCACCATACAAATAAAATTGAAATGAACTAAATTGGTGGCTCAGTGGTTAGCACTGTGGCATCACAGCCAGCAGATCCCCAGTTCATGTCCCAAGCCTGGGATCTTTCTGTGTGGAGTTTGCATGTACTCCCTGTGCAACGTGGGTTCTCTCTGGGCTCTTTGGCTTTCTCCTACAGTCCAAAAACATGTTGAGGTTAATTGGTGATTCTAAATTGTCCGTAGGTGTGAATGTGAGTGTGCTTGGTTGTCTGTCTCTAAGTGTGGCCCTGCGATAGACTGGCGACCTGTCCAGGGTGTCCCCTGCCTTCGCCCTAAGTCGGCTGGGATAGACTCCAACCCCCCCGCGACCCTCGTGAGGATTAAGCGGTGTATAGATAATGGATGGATGGATGAACTGAATTGGTGGCTCAGTTGTCAGCGCTGCGCTGTCACAGCCAGAAGATCACCAGGTCATGTCCCAAGCCTGGGATCTTTCTGTGTGGAGTTTGCATGTACTCCCTGTGCAACATGGGTTCTCTCTGGGCTCTTTGGCTTTCTCCTATAGTCCAAATACATGCTGAGGTTAATTGGTGGTTCTAAATTGTCTGTAGGTGTGAATGTGAGTGTGCTTGGTTGTCTCTCAGTGTTGCCTTGCAGTGGACTGATTACCTGTTCAGGTGTCCCCTGCCTTCACCCTCAGTCAGCAGCCACCCAGCGACCCCAGTGAGGATTAAGCGGTGTATTGATAATAGATGGATGAATACATTTAATTGGAATCAGCTCTAGAAATACTTGATGTATTGAACAACTTGTTCGTCTGTATTCTGTTTTTGAACCATGCTGCGTTTATTATATTGATCCAGTATGGTTGTTTTCCTCTCAGTCTCTCTTATTTGTCTTATTCCGCTCTGCTCTGTGAAAACAAAGTCTGCATTTCACCTGAAAACTCAGAATGTTTGTTATGTGAGTGTTGGCCACAGCGAAGTCCGTCAAAGGACTGACAATTCTTGATGTTTTTACAGTTTCTTTCTCCGATAAATAGTGTAATTGGAGTGATAGGACAGCATGTCGCACAAACCCACTGGTGGTTTTTGGGGTTCAGAGGTAGCCAGTTATACTATTGCAGTAGGTAAACCAAAGTTGTTGCGTGAGGCTAACATGCACTGATGTATTATCATGAGCTTTGGCTCATCTTATATCTTTTGTTCTCTCACATCTTATCACTGACATGCAAAGCTGTAATGTGGAAAGGGCACACACTCTGTGCTTTATTCTGTTTCCCCATACATGAATCTTCAAGTTCCAAATAATGAACAATGCTCCACCGTTGTGTTCAAATCTGATGTTTCGCAGACATGCCAAAATATTTAGCACAACTGAGCTCATAGAACAACATTAACATATAATCACTCCTCATATCTTTGTTTATCACACTCATAAAATAACAGTTTCATCCAAGCACTTGTGTGTCTTATTTCAGCATTTTCCCTTTCTATTCTCATGCTCAGTTTTCCTCCTCCCCACCTCCTCCAGATTTTTACCCTCTGCTAGCCCGTCCTAATCATTTTCAGTACCAGCTGGTACTGGGGCCTGCGTGTTTGTGCGCGTGTACCATGGCAGGACCTCATGCTTATGTAAGAGGCTAATTACCAACAACATGTAGCATAAGTCTCCCAGATAAGGATACATTCCAAAGAGAAGGAAAGATCAGAAAATAGAAATATGTTTTGTTTGATTTATTTGTATAAAAACCTGTTTCCTTCTTTAAGGTAATCTTCTGGTGGCCCTGTAAACTTTAACACTCCTCTCCTCTTTCATCTCACCTTCTTTTCTCTACCTTAATTCCTTGTCACTACTCTCCAATCTTTCACTGTCAACCCTGGTATTCCTCTTCCACCTCTCTCGGTGATGGAATGTAGGAATGTGAGGAGAGTTGAAAAAGGGAGGACTTGGATCTGCAGCGTGATCTCATACAGTCAGCCAAAAGTCTGATGTGTGTGTGTGTGTGTGTGTCTGCATGTATAACTCATGTTGTTGGGAAATCTGTACATAAAATTACATATAGGTGTCCCTCTCCTGATTTGGGAACAAACAGTGAATCCCCATAGCCTAAAATAGTGCCGTGCCATAAAAATGCCACTCTCTGTCTCACTTGTACTGCTCATTCTACCATGCAATGACTGTAGGAATTTCATAAACTCAAAGAAACAAATCCTACATTCAATAGATGTTGGCAACAAACTGAAAATCAGGACTGACATTTCTGCACAACTTACAGCAATTTTTCATGAAGGAGGGAGATTTGTGTTGGCAGCGGTGTGAGATTGTGAGAAAGAGGCTGAAACCTTTGTGTCTCACAGAATGCTGCTCTGAGCCAGGAATAATAAAATTAAACAATACAATTTTGAAAAAAAAGTATATAAAGTTCTTTATATAAGTTTGAAAAATATACTGACTCACCTTTGAATTTTTTCTTATGGATTGTCAAAAAATTGTTAATGGCAGCAAAGTCCTTACCGTAGATATAGTGTGGTTGACCTTTACAGTGTTTTATTTGATATATTGTTTCACTGTATATCTTTAACAAAATTAAGATCCATCCATCCATTATCTATACATCGCTTAATCCTCACTGGGGTCGTGGGGGGCTGGAGTACAGCTGACTCAGGGTGAGGGCAGGGGACACCCTGGACAGGTCACCAGTCTATCACAGGGCTACACTTAGAGACAGACAACCAAGCATATTCACATTCACACCTACAGACAATGTAGAATCACCAATTAACCTAAACATGTTTCTGGGCTGTGCGAGGAAGCCGGGGAACCCAGAGAAACATGCAAACTCCACACAGAAAGATCCCAGGCGTCCTAACCAAGACGAGAACCATGGACCTGCTAGGTGCGAGGCGATGGTGCTAACCATCGAGGCACCATGCAGCTCTGAAATTAATCTCTGATGGTTCTGTGTATTTGACAAGAAGCCAGTAGCATTCTGAGGCTGGATGACACCCCTCTATCATATTTTACATGAATAATGGGGCTCATTGGCTCCATGCAGTGCCAAATAACAAACAAAAAGAAAACAAAAATACTTATGTCAACAATGAACAAGTAATTCAGACGAAAATGCTGCGTCATCTTCTCTTCTCTCACTATGATTTTCTTATGGTGTTACTAGTAAGGGTACAATATGTAAAATAAGGAAAGAGAGGATAATAATAGCAAGAAAGTGTTGAGCAAAGTTTACAGCATTCGATTATGCTCAAATTTTGTCCCCAAACATAGGGAAAAGGTCATTGAGTGGTGAAAATTGGGAGACAGACTGTGCTTCGCAAATTAGATTAGCAATCTGTTTGTTAGATTTTAATATTTTGTATGTACAAGAGATGGTGGTTAGATGGCAGGAAGTCCCCAGAATGATAACAAATCATCCTCTGAATATTCACAGCACATTTTCACTCTTTACAACAACAGTGCCCAGCACTGGTGACCGTTTTTTAAACACTACTCAGTTCAATAACCTACTGTTCCACATATTACCACAACCTAAGTCGTCAAAAACAACTGTGGGAGATTAATTTTCCAGCACTGTAATAATGGTTTTTGATGCCCTGGTAAATATAATGTGGCCTATATATGAACAAAACAGTACTTCAGTAAACTAGCATTGCCTTCCATCATGTCCCAAGACTCCCAAGAGAGCTGTTTCTAAATTTTTAGCCTTTTCACATTTAGTAGGTAGTCCGTGAAGAGAATACAGACAGGAAACATT